ATTCCAAAGGTCGTAGGTTCGAATCCCACCGTGGCCGGGCATATTTTTCAAGCTCGCCCGGTGTGGATATGCACTCAGAGTAACATCACAAACAGATCAGAAGAATCTTGGAAAACATCTTGCCATGAATCGTATCGAGCTAAATCAGTCTTCTGTCCTAAACCTGTACTGAAGACTGACTGAAAATTAAGATATACTGACTTGCCTACCACAGGCATCTCGCAAAGTTTTATCTCATTTCCTTTTGTATATACGTCATAGCAGAGGATTTCCACTTGTTTTTAAATTTTAGTTTCCGTTATATGTTCGCGATATTGGTATAACAATTACATTTTGGTCCAATTTTATGGGAAGTCAACGGATGAACCGAAAGTACAAAAAATGAAAGTGACTTAAACGCCTGGCGTGAATGTTGTTTACCATGGTCATCTAGAAAACAAACACTTAATTTTATTTTCTTGTGCTTGAAGATTTTTCCAGATTCTTCATCAAATATAGGGCGGAACTGTCACACTGAAGACCCTATAAGTGTTTCTTTGTTTACTGAAACGTCCTGCATGCAAGCAGTCATTGCCGTCACACTCCGGAAATTTCAGTATATTAAAAGTGATTACATCATTTGCATGAATGAATGCACCATGAAGTCAATTGCTTCACAAGGTGCCCTTTTCAATACCCTAAAGTGCCCCTAGAAGCCGGTGCCCCCCCCCCAATCTTTTGACGCTTCCTACGCCCCTGCCTGAAAATCAGCTCAAGTTACCTCTGAAATTACCTGAAATTACTCATTTAAAATATGAAGGGTGTTACACCCCCCCCCCCCAACACACACACACCCCAAATGATATTATTTACCGATGAGGTTTTGTCATAGGGGGAATGGTATTGTAGAAAAATACTGACAGCAGCATCAAAGATGTACAACTAGGTATAAATCGTGTTGCACACTACAGCTATATATAGCTTATCTTAGACTATACTTTATAAAAATTATATAAGCCTTTCAGCCATCGTGCATGTTGAACACTGTCACTGTTTATTGACGGCTGACTGTAACTTGCAGAACTGTTACTGAAAACATAGACTTGTTCGAAGACCGTATAACCCCCAGTATACAACGGATTGTAATTATAAATTAACTCCGCTTCTTCTTTCTCTGTCGACTCAAATTTATGGTGGTTCAAACGCGCTTTATTGACAAAGACATTTGACATGTATTGAGTGGTTTGAATAGCTTTCGCGACATGAGACATATTTCTTACTGGATCCCACTCGAAAGAATTCTTCTCAGGATGCCATTGAGTGGCAAAAAACGGGTAGTATTTTCCCTCCATAGTTGAAATAAACTCAATTCCATTTCGATCCACGCTTGTTGACAAAACATTATAAAAATCTGTCATGTTCTTATTTTCATTGAATGATTTCACAGTCACAGACCAATCATGAAAATTAGCGGTAGAGGGTACAGTGCTGAGAAATTCTTCCAACTCCGTCGGCATGTTTTGAAATATTTGGCTCTCTTTATAATCGTCTGCAAAATCTAGGGTCAATGTTATATTTTCCGAGTCCGTTTTCGAGAGAATATTTGTTGTTCCTGCAACGTAAACAGAGAGAAATTCGTGACCAAGGCATATTCCCCAAACTGGAAAGTAATCTCGATGGTCGAATGATTCCTTGGCCAAATCCAGAATTTTTCTGCCAACTTTAGCATATCCTGAGTGAACCCAGTCAACATCTCCTCCGGGGAAGAGAACACCATTAATTGTTTTAAATAATTTCACCGTTTCACGTTCGGTAAGATCGTTCCATATCGGCACGACTCGAGCCCCTGATGATTCCAAGTATTTAATGTACGAAGCTGCAATGTAATTTGGCTTGGTAGTGTTAAAACTCATATCTTTCGCGGACTGCATCATGACTCCGATAATTGGTCGGTTGTTTAATATGTTTTGGCTTTCGTTACCTTCCTTGTCTGGAAGATAAAACGCACGACAAACGTACAAAGTTTGAAGTGCAATGAAAAATTTCGCAGAAAATGTCATTGTATGTGCTGATATTCACCGAGAAAACCGTTTGTTGTTTGTGCATGCAGTGATGCAGAGACTAGCTGGCAGAGAACCAATTATGCTATCAGCTGTGCTTGTAAGACGAAACGGGTGAATTATGAGCCTCACATGAATTTCACATGACAATGTCACAATATTGATCTCTGGATGCATATTAATGTCCCGCAGCGCTTTCCCGGCTATATGGTTTATTTATCACTCATGTACCATGTACAGTATAGTACGTTGCGTAATGGGTTGCATAATGGCTTCTGTATGCGTTAAATTGATTAAATGTTATAACAGAGTCAAATTTCTATGAATGTACTGACGAAAATCAAATCTTAAGAATTTCCAACGTTCTTTTTGCCGGAAATTGGAAATTTGCATAATAACTGAATATGGTTTGAGAATGATTCGCACCAGTACAAAGGTCAGTTTTTGTGATCACATGCTTAACACTGCCGCACACTTAAATCAATACATTTATAGTTGATGAAAAAAACATCGATTGTATAAACTTGACAAGCCCGTGGCGAGGGTACTAATTCCGCATGGCTATTTAAACCCGGGAACATGGGGGTCTCCTAATCCTATATCTATGGTGTCAAGAGGTGGTCATCACTGATCTCAAAACTATGGCGGAGTGAAAAGATTTAAAGAGAAAAGAAAAGTGTTTTCATCAGTAAGGAGCTTTGAGGAAATGACAAGAGTATGACATCGTGAAATATGTGTTGCTTTAAATTTTTTTGCTGGACACAGTTTTTCAGATATTAAAAGTGTAGGTGTGAATTATTGACCTATTTTATATTTCTAAATATGCTTAATATTATTTCGAAGACTGAAAAATTGTGTGATTTGAGCCTGATTTCAGCTATCGTCGAAATCATCTTTAACTATGCTGAAATGTATGCCTCATGCCCTCATAGTCATGTTCTGTTAGAAGATGTTATACTGATTTTTTGTTGGGTCAGGTCAACCGTGCATAAAAATTTCATTGCACTCATGTGACTCGACTAGAAGCCTGAGAACATGCCATACAAATTTTTTCAAGAGCTTAACATATTTCTGCAATTATTATATAGCATCCTCGTCATCATTTGATCAAAGTAGACTCGATAATGATAATGATGATCATGATGACGGGGATGATACTAAGACTAACGATAATGAAAATGTGAACCCTCTAGACCCAATTACTCCGACCACGGACCAATATGAAAAGGTGTACCCAAAACTCAAGGGATTCAAAATAGGACATTTAAATATTGCAAGTCTGGTAAAGCATAAAAATGAATTATTGGTTTTTCTGGCTAAACTCCCTATTGATGTAATTTGTATTAACGAAACCCGACTTGATGACTCCATAGACAGCTCTGAGCAGGGCCTTTTTTAAGGATTTTCCCGTCGGGGGAGTGGCATTTTTTGAAAAGGGACCTTTCTGTGAGATAATATATTAGAGGGGGATAGCAATGGCTGAAAGCCACGTGTGTGGCAAATATACCATGCATGAATGGGGGATCTGGGGGTGTACTCCCCCAGAAAATTTTTGAAATTTGACTCCCGGAAATGTCATTTCCTGCATTCTGAGCATCCAAATTTGCTCCAAAATTTATCCTAACTATACTTGTATTTGAAATAAATAAAGGAAGAAACACACAAAAAGTAAGAAAAATTAACCATCATTTATCATTACTTATTAGAGGAGGATAGCAATGGTCAGGTGTGTGGGGGTGTACTCCCCAGACAATTTTTGAAATTTGAACCACAGAAATGCCATTTCCTGCATTCTGAGCATCCAAATTTGCTCTAAAGTTTATGCTAAGGGACCGGTCATTATTTATGGCGGGGGGTGGCACCGAAGAGAAAAGGGTTGGGTAAACAAAATTTTGAGTAAGTAAAAGGTTGGGTAAATGAAAAACAAAACAACTCAAGGGTTGGGTAATGAAAATTTATTGTCATTTCCAAAGCATGACCCACTGAAATATTGGAGACTGAAAAGCAATGTCAACAGTCATTTGTCAATACAATATATGAATCAATCAGAGTCACTATCTTGATCATAGTTTGACAAAACAAATTGTGTTTCCAAAGAAAGTACATCATGTGCAGACAACATGAAACTTTAGACTGCAGAAAATTTCACAAGCCGTTATCAAACTCATGTCACTGCAGGGTGCGATAATTCAATATTTTTAGCCGTACCTAACTGGTACTCCGACAACTTTTGCCGCGTACCTGGTCTGGTACAAATTTAAGAGTCAAGACGTACCTAAGACTACTTCCGAGTCACGCGTTTTTACACCTACGTATGGTTTCACTGGTCCAAAAGCAAAAAATGTATGGGCAATTTTGTACAAATGAATCTTTAATTATGGTATTTGTACAACATAATATAACAGTTTTCAAAGCGTCGACGTTGTGACTCGAATGCCATCGCTCATTTACAGTGGATTTACCGAGGGTGCTAACAGTCAGACCTCAGCTACATACAGTGTAGTTTTCCTAATTGGGCCTAAAAGAAACCTGTGCATGGTTCCAGTTTCATATCACGAAAAAATTAGGGTAGGTAGGTCGTTTATAAAAAAAAAAATTGAATATTTTTTTCATGGTTTTGGCGGTTTTTTGCTGGGCGATTTTCAGTAGAGTCCCAACATCAATATTAACTAGAGATGCGTAGTTCCTACGGACGAATTTAGGCAATTTGGTTCAATAATTATTGTGACAACCGACGCCATAATTTTTGGCACGCTGTACGAGCAGCCCTCAACCACCCGGAGAAAATAGGGTAGCACGGTCAATCATGTTGAAAAAAAATAATAGGGTGGGCAGAAAAAAATAGGGTCGGTCGGGAAACTGGAACCACAGGTATTTTATTTTTAGGCCTTGGTATTATAGCATTGAATTGACAATTAAGCCCAGGTCACACCACACAACGATAACTTGTAAACACGCGATAATACAACGAAAACGGTAAAACTAGCGTTTGACGATAACGATTTTAAAATCGCTCACCCGAGATTTTTTTTCAGTCGGACGATGACGATACATTTTTCAATTAAGCTAACCTAAACTAAAGATAACCTTTTGGCTTTTTTCATCCCAAAATATGTCGGATGCGTGGAATTTACATGTACAGCTAAAGTTCTTCACGGTTTTGAATACTTTGGCAGGTTTGCTAGTTACTACTAGAAGGAAAATGTAAGTACGCGAATAGCAAATTTCCGCGTACCTACGTGGTACTTGCCTAAAAACAAAGAAGTACCAGACCACAAATTTTGCGTACCTCCGGTACGTTGGTACGCGAATTATCGCACCCTGGTCACTGAAGTGATAAAGGACATATATGACAACTGAATGGTATCCTTTTGTTAAGTTTTTGGCCAGGGGTGGGTAGTTAATTTTTAATTGATATTTGAGGTTGGGTAATCAAATTTTTGTCTTTTTAATGGTTGGGTCAGCAAAATTTTTGACACGGAAAACATTTCTCTTCGGTGCCACCCCCCTCCATAAATAATGACCGGTCCCTAACTATAGTTGTATTTGAAATAAAAGATGGAAAATGCACAAAAAGTAAAAAAGAATATTAACTGTAATTTATCATTACTTATTAGAGGGATAATCCCAAGAAAATTTTTGAAATTTGAAACCGTGAAATGCTATTTTCTGCATTCTGAGCATCCAAAAAATAAAAAAAATATTAACAATAATTTATCATGGCTTAGTGGTAAAAAAAAGTAACAATTTAAATCGATTTTGTTAAACAAGAACAAAGGATACAGCCTAAAACTTACTTTCCGTTTATCTATTTGTTAATCTTCGCTGGATTGTTTGTATAATTTTAGGAAAAAGGGACTTTTCCTGGGGGGGGGGGCAAAATGTGATTTCGTGGGGGGGCACAAGGGGGGACTTGGGGGGCAAATGCCCCCCCCCCAGCTTGTATGTTAAAAAAGGCCCTGACTCTGAGGTTAAAATACCAGGTTACGATTTGATAAGAAAGGATAGAAACCGCAATGGAGGAGGAGTGGCTATCTACCTAAGGGATGTTATTCCCTATACTAATAGAGCTGACTTAATTCCATTTAATGCAGAGGCAATTTGTCTTGAAATTAAAAAACCGAAAGCTAAGCCAGTTCTAATTAGTACATAGTTGGTAGATATCTAACAGGTCATCCAATCGTTTGGAGTTGTTATTCCTATAGTTGCTGTACAGCATGTCACAGTTAAAATCACCTGTTATGATTATTTCTTTGTTTTCATTGACAATCTCTTTTATGAAATTTTCAAAATCATTAAAGAATTCCATATTAGAACCTGGTGGACGATACCACAGCAACACATTGATAAGCCAACCCAAACAACTGACTCGGCAAAAACACTAATAGACATTATAATTACAAAAAGTGACGACACCAAAACATCTGATTCAGGAGTGATTGCTTTGGGAATAAGTGACCATGATCTGGTGTATATTTGTAGGAAAATAGGAGTACCCAGAGAAACGCCGAAAATAGTAGAAACAAGGCAGTTTAAACATTTTAACGAAAACGAATTCCAACAAGACTTTAAGCGTTTAACTACTTTACATGCAACTCTGATCCAAATCTTGCCTGGCAAGAATGGAAGCACATACTTTTGTCTATTTCTGACAATCATGCTCCCTATCGTACTAGAAAAGTTAGAAATGAGCATTGCTCATGGTTGAACAATGAAATTAAAAAACTTAGCTAGCTATCACCGAGATTACCTTAAAAAAAGCCGGCAGTGAGACTAAATTCTATTGCTTATACCGAGGTTTATAAAAGATGCAAAAACCAAGTTACCAAACTTATTAGGGATGCAAAAACACACTATTATAAAGTAAATCTGGAACAATGCAAAAATAGTAAAGATAGCTGGAGATTTATTAATCATTTACTCAGCAGGAGAACGACTACAACAACAATCAACCAGATTACAGTTACAGATAAACTACGTCAAGCGTTCCTCTTTTGAGTTTCTAAATTGATTGCAATTTTCGTCATTACCTTTGCAATTTAAAAAAAAAACCTTACAAATCCCTTGAGGAAATTTTCAACGTTGCTAAAAGCCAATTAAATTTTCCTCAGTTCCTGTTAGAAGTTCTTAACTTCCTTTTACAAGTTCCTAACTTCCTGTTCTGTTCTGTTCTGTTCTGTGCGTTGTAATTGGCTAACAAAATAATCCACCAATGATAACACTCAGAACAGAACAGGAAGTTAGGAAATTAAAATAGGAAGTTAGGAAAATTTCAAATGAACATTGGAATATTGCAATAGCCGATAGGAACATTGCAAATTCCCTCAAGGGCTTGCAAAGATTTTTTCAAATTTGCAAATCTAATGAGGAGAATTCCAAATCGGTCAGGAAGTCAAAAGAGGAGCGCTAGCTTCACGTAGTTTACCTGTAATGGACAAACAATTAATGGTAACGATTACAGGTAAACTACGTGAAGCGTTCCTCTTTTGACTTCGTAACTCATTTGGAATTTTCCTCATTAGCTTTGCAAATTTGAAAAAATCTTTGCAAATCCCTTGAGGGAATTTGCAACGTTCCTATCGGCTGTTGCAATATTCCAAACTTCATTTTAAATTTTCCTAACTTCCTGTTTTAATTTCCTAACTTCCTGTTCTGTTCTGAGCGTTGTTATTGGTCGATTATTTTTGTTAGCCAATTGCAATGCCCAGAACAGAACAGGGAGTTAGGAACTTGTAACAGGAAGTTAAGAACTTCTAACAGGAACTCAGGAAAATTTTATTTGCTTTTAGCAACATTGCAAATTTCCTCAAGGGATTTGCAAGGGAGTTTTTTAAATTGCGAAAGTAATGAGGAAAATTGCAATCAATTTAGAAACTCAAAAGAGGAACGCTTCACGTAGTTTACCTGTAATACGCGAACGAGTTTAACGATTATTTTTGAGCTTGCACAAACTATACCACCAAGTAATGTAGACCAATTTCAATATATCACTGCTAATTGTAATAAGTTTACATTTAGACAAATTTCACCAGTAGAATTATGCAGATAGGTATAATACTAGATGGTATAAAATTAGGTAAAGCTGCAGGACTCGACGAAATCACAAACCAACTGTTAAAGACTGCAGGCTATACCATATGTGAAACCTTGCTTTATATTTTTAACTTGATCCTAGACCGACGTTGGTGTACTTCCAGACGACTTAAAACAGGCTAAGATTACGCCTATCTATAAGGAAGGTGACAAAAATGAATGCGGAAATTACAGACCTATATCCGTCATACCGGCAATTTCAAAAATATTAGAGAAACTAGTTTATAACCAACTTCTTAATTTTCTGAATGACAACAAAATAATCACAAAACGCCAATCTGGCTTCCGAAATATCACTCTACTGAAACTGCTCTCTTGCAATCAACCAATGAATATTTAATGAATATGGATAGAGGCTTAATAAATGGTGTCTTGTTTCTTGATGTCAAAAAGGCATTCGATACAGTCGACCACAAAATCCTTCTTGCTAAACTTGAACTATATGGAATTCAAGGTGTAGCCCTTAACTTCTTCAAATCGTACTTAACCAATAGGAGTCAATTATGTACAGTCCAAGGTACAAATTCCCAATTGAAAAAGATAAGGTGCGAAGTCCCACAGGGATCAAACTTAGGATCGTTATTATTCTCATTGTATATAAACGATCTTCTAACTGCCTCGAACAAACAGAGGCATGAGGCATCTATGTTTGCAGATGACACAAATATTGAAATATATCAAGCATTGGCAATTCACCTGCGGACAAAGAAGTGAAACTAAATAACGATTTGTATAACGTCAATAACTGGTTAATTAGCAAACAAGCTTACTTTTAATAAACGTTAAAAAAACTGAAATTGAAACAATTCTCATATGACCCATGTATACTGATTGGTAATCATAACATCAAACAGGTGACCAAAAGAAAGTACTGGGAATTACTTTAGACGATGAACTGAGATGACATAAATACAATGATCTTCAATGCAAAAAAACTATCCAAGAGCATTGCCTTACTAAAACGAGCCAAACGATTTGTTAACCAAAACGTGTTAATTAACATGTACAACTCACTAGTCTTACCTCACTTTACCTATTGCTCCAACGTGTGGAATGACGGCAGTCGTACACATATCAATATTTGTTCGCGTGAAATGTGAAATGCTTGATTTTAGTGTCGTGAAATGTGATTTGTTCTACAGCCGTGAAGCGTGATTGTTGATGAAAATGCTCCGTGAAATGAGAATTAAGGATGCCTGTTTCGTGAACTGTGATTATTATAGTGATTATTATAATAAACATGATACGCGATAATCAAATTTATATGATCTCACTCGATTGCACAAAAGTAAAAACTTCGGAGGCCTTTCGCGAGGTTCCTGACGCTGAGGACAAGGTTCCTGACGCTGAGGACAAGGTTCCTGAAGCTGAGGACAAGGTTCCTGACGTTGAGGACAAGGTTCCTGACGCTGAAGACAAGGTTCCTGACGCTGAGGACACGCGCGGAGGTCGTCGTACATTCTCGTCACTCAAACTTGTAAGTTATGATGTAGTTTTTAACTGACAAGTAGAGAAATGAGAGAACTTAAAGCGTAGATACTGTACCATGCATTAAACATAATCTTAATAAACCTATTTAATATTATTATATTATTTTATGAGAATCTAGTTTTCCGTGAAATTGCTTTTTTAAGACACGTGAATCGTGAAACGGCTTTTTTTTCGTTGTGAAACGTGATCCACCCTTTCCCACCCTCTTTTCATATCGAGGTGCTGCATCATGGTGTTATCTTCCAAATGATGTTACCAACAACTATAAAGAGCTCTCCATAAGTAACTTCAAAACCTTAATCAACAACTATTTCACCAATTTGGAGAGGAATAGTGTGTGACAACCACTTGTGGGGCGGATTTTGATTCGAAGGAGTAATTTTTGGGTCTGGGGGGTTAACATAACATACTATTTCTAGTTATATATATCAGTGGCGTGCTGGCAGGGGGGGCCGGGGGGCCACGGCCCCCCCAGCTGGCAATTCTTGGGGGGCGCAGAAATGAAAAGGGGGCGCCGATCCTGAGCCGAATTTTGAAAGTGGGTGGGAAAAAACGCATTCGAAAAAATATAGTTACTTCCGCCAAGAAAACGACAAAGTGATATATTAAATTACCGACTATTTTGTCTATTAAGCCGTATTTGCTAATTTGCTACTTCACGGCGCACACGAAATCATTTATATAGGAACATGATCAGTGATCAAACGCAATGTCTCATTACCGAAATATTGGTCAGGTTTGGAAGCGATCACGGGAATTATGCCCTTTTTTGCTGGTATTATGCCCTTATATTACGCCCTTTATTCTTCTTCACGAGAGCGGCGCAAATTAGATAGTTGAAGTTATGATAATGTAAAGTTGTGTACGCAATTTAGTTGTTTGCGCAAGAAACATCATGAGTAATGTAAGTAATGAAATAATGCTGAAACGCGCCCTTTTGGCAGCCAGGCAAGGAAACCTTAAAATGCATATGCGTGGGGTCCGTGTATTATTGTATAAAAGAGCTGTAAGTTGTAAATGTATTCAGATCACTAGATCAGTAGAGAATAGAATTGGGATTAGATTAATCGCTGGAAGTGGTTAGCATTGCATAATTTAAGTACAAATTGCAAATTTCGACACGTTATAATGCTGTTTCCTGACCATCAGATTTCTGTCAAATCGTCCCCCAAAGTCCAGGAAATGGCATTTCAGAGACTCTAAATTCAAAAATTTTCCTGGGGGGCATGCCCCCGGACCCCCCTAGACAAACCTCGCACCTTCGGCGCTCGGCTCGTGCCTTCGGCCCTCGTTTATCACGTGTAATATTATAGGGGCGCATATTGGTTGACAGCCCACTGGCCCCCCCAGAAAAATAGTACCCAGCACGCCACTGATATATATCATTCATTCTAAGTTATATATATAGTGTTCACTGCATGGCCTTTCTTTTTTTACACAGTTAGTATGTACAATAGATTTTTCATATTTGTAAATATTCTAACGGCCCCTTGAAAAGCAGTTTAAACTGAAGGGCTACCGTTTTTAAATGAGATGAATAGTAATAATAATAATAATAATTATACATATGTGAAAGGTTCAATAGCTTAGATACAAATGCATATAAACCTTTGCCTTGCCAGTATCAATCATAGATATCTTATATACACCAGATAGCGCATCTCTTTTAGTAAAATGGAAGCCAAGAATATTCCAGCGGTTACCCCCATTTGAATAGATGGCGGTCATATTGGTCGTTCCCACTTGCTAATAAACGCTTAAAAACAACAATAACTTTCATCATTTGAATAGTTTAAAAATGTATTTGGAATAGGTTTAACTTAATGTTTAAGTTCCTTGTTTAAGAAATGGAAAACATACTAATCTTCTCATTTCATTGGAACGACCTGAGACTGCACGGCTTCAATTTTTGAATTGCAGAATAATTAGATGCACTATCTAGTGTATATAAGATATCTATGGTATCAATACGTAACAAATTAGAGGTCTAAATTTCGAAGACGATCTGAGGTCTTCGAAATTCTATAAATTCCGGCCATTAGGGTATATAAACTTTAGAATATAAATTCCATTAATTAATACCATTAGGATATAATCGTCCGGTCGCGATCGACGATATATCGATATAACACAGTGTCAGTGGCTGTAAGAAAGCTAAATGGTAAACAAAATAGTAGATTGTTTATAAATAGGAAAGCGATTTGTGTTGAAACATGCATGGATGGCGTATTTGACAAAATCTGCAAGTCTAAACATTACGTACTCAAGACACTCAATTATTGCATGATTGCGCGCTCAAGGAGACTGTGTACGATTGTCACCCTGTTGTCACCTTCTAGAAATTACGTAATTATACATCATCTGTAAGTTGCATTCGAGAATATATTTTACTACGCCAAACCAAAGGAATTGACAATCGATATAAGACTCAGAGTTCAGACTGATCATCAAAATGGTCTGACTAATTATAGACGGTAAGTCGTGCCTTATAATCAAACGTTCAAATGAAACTGTGTGGATTTTCATAGTTAATATATACTTCGTCATTGATAAACAAGATCGACGGTTCGGTCATACATACGATCCGACTTTAATGCCACCGAAACGTTCACGTAAAGGTAATTGTAAAATTTATAGTTATGAATGTATTATATAATATTGTAATTAGATATGCCACGATAAATATGATATGAGCATCATGGTATATGAACATATATACCCAAAACCAAGTCAAAGTCGGCATGGAATACCTTATCGGCCACAGTCAGACCACAGCGGGCACAGTGTAAGTTAGCACATAGCCTAGGCGTCATAGCCATAGGAGGAGGTGCAATGAAATAAAACGATGATAGACATCGTCATCGTCCATCGAACATGTTTAATTTTTATACATTTTAGCAGTAAACTATAGAAATTTTAAAACATTTTAGCAGTAAACTATAGAAATTTATACAACGATATAAACTATTATTACTGAACGGAGTACAGAAACATTCTTTCAATAAGGCCAGCTTTCCGCCTTACAAAGACAAAAAATATCTAATTTTTTAAAATCGCAAGTTATTTATTATTAAAAGACGTGACAAGTAGTATAAATTTGCATATCTTAAGAAGGCTGATATCTAAAGGCCAGTATAGATGTCGACAAACAGAAAACGTCATGATCGATGCCGATGGCGATGGTTTATTTCGAAAAATGGGTTTCATTAAAACCAAAATGAAAGACCTCATATAAAAACAGACATATCGACCAACGGAAAACACTGACGATAGTTTATTTCGAAAGTTGAAGTTCCATTAAAACAAAATGAAAAAGACTTTAACTTTTTGTCTTACTAGTAATTTACTATAAAAACAGACATGATGCAGCAAACTATGCATCAAACAGCTTTATTTTCACATCAAACCCAAGCTAGAAGTTTATACAACGACTTTATACAGAGACATTCTTTGAAGCTTTATTTACAATGATATTTAAAATTTTGTAAATCGCAGGTGAAAAGACGTCACAACAGACACGATTAGGTAGCAATTTACATATTTTAAGAAGGCTCGCTCATGGCCATGGGCATGGCTGATATCTAAAACGTGTTGGTTTATTTCGAAAAATGGAGTTTCATTAAGACCAAAATGAAAACTGAGACTTTTTCATAAGGCCACTACAAGTTAATCTTTAGTTTCTGGTCCGGCCTTACCTTCGTTTACGACGCGGGCGGGTGGGTGGTTAGGACTATAGGACATAATTACAATTGTGGCTTTGCCCACATTTTTGTGGTCCTTCTTGTCCCTTTTCATGCTAATTGTATCAAATATTATGAAATTTTACATAAATTGCATTGATATTACTTATAAATCGACATGCATGCATGACAGATTACAAAGGATTTTACGTATGAAAATGATCTATTAATATTTCTAGTTTTTTTTACTTTGTAATCTCGATAAGGCAGCGGTTTTTACCATTCAATACTACATTTTGCTAGGTCTTTTTAGTGTAAATTGAATATTTATCGTTCTATAAGTTAAATCCTTCGCGAAAATTTTCAAGAATTAGAAATTAATTGTAAACAACAAAATAGTCCTGAAATAATACTTTACGGAGAAAGGACGCGGGCGGCGGACCAGAAACTAAAGATTAACTTGTAGTGACCTAATCTAGTTTGATGGCGAATTCGAATACCAATTGGCAGGTTTTGGCACACGATTATGACACAAGTCAACTTTGTCTGATTGGAAATGCTGTGCCTTGCGCGTGCAGCCATATTGTATATCGCTAGTGTCTCCATAGAACCCATTATAAATACAGATCAATTTGGTTCAGTGAATAAAAAAATCAAAGACTGTGTTGTAGACTTGTAGTTATGGCAAAATGGGCGTTGTGAAAACCTGGAATATCACGAAATATGGCGGAATTAATATCACAGTATTTTCCGATGGTAGCCAACATATTTTATTACAAAAGTGATGGGTAACAAACAATAACTCTTTACTGGAAGTTTTATACGTTGTTTATATGATTATTACGAGTGTTCACCAAAAATTTTGAATTGCGTCTTGAAAAATAAAAGTCGAACGCCTTCAACTGTGTTATACACAAAATTTACTGTTAAAAATTCTTGGTTAAGGTTAAGACGGGACTTTTTACCTGATATAAACGAGAATTTAAACATCTTGGCTCAAACTTGCCTTTATTTTAGCATTTGATTTTTGGATATAAGTGCTTGGCGGTATAAAATTGACCATTTTAAAGCGAAATATTTCGCCTGTTTTTTTTTAATTGCGACCACTCGAATAAATTATTTCTACTTGATTGCTCACAATTCAAAAAAACAGGCGAAATATTTCGCATTTCGCTGACAAAAAGCGCTCGTACGTGTTATCAGGGCTTAAAGCCCTGATCAGGGCTTAAAGCCGTAATCATGAAATCACATATCCCCTCGTTGCCTCAAAATAACCAAAACATATTCCGTGATATTCCGCCATATTCCGTAATATTCCAGCATTCCGGGTTTTCACAACGCCCATGGCAAAACTGCAATAAATGCATGTATGTTATTGACCATGACTTCATGAGCGAGAGGTCCAGACTGTAGGATATTAGTCGAGTTTTTTCTCAAACGAACAACTAAGAACAAGACTAAGTAATATCTTGTCTGGACTGAACAAGCTCAGTCAATAAGTTAGTTATTACATGCAGGGCATGGCTAAAAGCAAGAGCATGCATTCAGTGCCATTATTTCAACATCGAAAACCCCGGAATTCAAGTTAACTTTCTGTTAACAATTTTTTATAAAGATAAAACGATAACAACATTTTTTAGATATTAAATATATAATTATCGTATTAAATATCGAAAACAGAGCAGTTTTTAGTCCAGTTTTTACGGTTAAGTTAGTTTGCCGAAAAAGCCCGCGTTCAATGACAATTAATGGCGGTAAATATCACCCTGTCAGCATTTCAAGTGTTATACTGAAAAGCGTTTTATACGTATTAAACAACGTTTTAACACCAGCTAGAGTAGAATAGTCTAAGTTATTTTATATAAAAAAAAACTTACCAAGGTCGCATATTTATAGTCTTTTCTACTGGGAAAAGAGTTATTCAGGGGCGTAAATGTGTGAGTGTGTGGGGGTGGTTCACCCCACCCCCCACCCCCAGTGAAATGATCCAGTCGGTCTCAAACTACGTGCAGTCGGTCTCAAAATTATGCGTTTGTTTACATGCAGTGCTCTGCGAAGCAAATTAAATATTTTCGAAACTCGAGATAGACTATTGAGTATTGAGTTGGAAATTTGCTCAAACGGATCAAACAGCTCAAAATATTAAGAAATATTACGTACTTATTTCGCGAGTTTATGAACGAATTATCATTCAAAACACGCGCAAAGGGATGAAGTTTCCATTTACTTTCCAAACATGGAGATATCTATATGTCACGATTACGTGTTGGCATCACTTTTGGCATGCACTTTTATTTGGAATTTAGGTTCTGCAAGGTCATTCACGGGTGATATTCTATATTAGCGAAAATTTTAAACCCCCAAAATCAGACTCCAAAATGCGATGAATCTCGATCAAAATAGCTAACATTAGTTACAATATTTCTCCGGTCCCCTAAACTATATTTTTAAGATGTAAAGTGCAAAAACGAATTTCTAGCCGAGTTATATTAGGAAGTATGTTCACGAAAGAGTTTTATGTGCCTACTGCAATCAAGAAATTCGATCAGTGAACGACGCACTGGTCAGTTTATCTGAAATCACGGAGCGAAAAATTGTTTCCACTGACTAGGCGATGTTTCCAATTGTTGCTTACAGTCAGGCCCATAACTAGGTATATGAGTCAATTGAGTTCAAGTTCAATGACAGACTGTAGTTCTCTCCATGTAAAGAAGCATTATTCTTGCCGTACAGTGACGTAAGAAATGGGAGGCTGTATGGGTGCACAAGTACCCCAATAACAAAAGTGCGGGCCAGCGCCGAAATATTACAACAATTGAGCACAAACACTTTTTTATTATGCACCTGATCAATGATGTTCGACCAAAAATGTAATTCTTAGCCTCAGGATTGGCCGAAAACTACAGTATAAAATTATAGTCATTGTGTCACTGTTTGTGAAATTTCGTTTGAACTGCTCCCAGAATGCAGAAAATAGCGTTTCTAAGCCTTAGAAAATCAAAAATGTTCTGGGGGAGCATGCCCCCAGACCCCCCAGAAGTGTCTCGGTCAATCAAAAATCCTATAGTTACGCGCCTGACAGTTCCTGTAACATCCGCATCAGCCGAGCGCAGCTTTTCAAAGCTGAAATCAGTGAAAACTGTATGTGTTCAGTAATGAACCAGGAACTCCTCGGTGAACTCTTGACTCTTTGCGTGTAAGCGCGATCTAACAGACACGATCGATCTTGACGAAATCGCTAATCCGTCAAACCTGACTAAGCGCGGACACTTAATAAAAATATAGCGTTTCACAGCAAACTGTACTTGTTTTTCCAAAACTCCTAATAAATGCCATCAATTTCCATGCTTTGTACTCAATTTTATTGCAACACACCAACTCACCAAGAGTTGGTCTGGATTCACATTTCAGTGGTGAGTCGGTCACATTTCGTGATTACATCCTCCCAGTCAAAATCGTGTGTCCGCCCCTGCAGGTTACCTACCGCTCAAGAACCAATCAAAATGCTACATTTTTAAATGAACCGTCTCGCCATAAGAATAATTTTTCTTACAGTTCCTAGACTTTATTTCAGTTGTCAGTGTTAAATACAGAATGTAAATTAGTGAAAAGAATATGCCTGCAAATCTATAAAGCAATTTTCATTATTATATAGCAAGTGTCAATGAAAGTTCAAGTTTCAATTTTATTTTGTTTTCCACTTCAAGCGTAACGTACCGACACGTATCAAAACAAATAGTTTAAATTTCAAAATTTAGTGAATTTTGATTTGTTAATACTTCCGTAGTACGCTTAAAAGTTGACTTGCGACGAACTTTTTATTTTAATACGCGAATCAATCGGAAGTTCGTAAATATGAAAACCCATCTTCAAACTGCGCATGCTCACCGGTACGTTACGGTACGATACGGACGAAGTGGAAAACGGGCTTTAAAGCCTGTTTTCCACGTCAGCCGTATCGTAACGTACCGTAGCATTTTCTTTTGTGTCGAAGTCATTAGTTTCACACTACCGCTCTAAAAGCCTAATTCCACGACGAGCGAAATGCGAAAAATTTCGCGCGAAAAACACTTGTGCGAAAATTTTCTCCCGTAGCGATTTCCACAGTAGAGAAAAAAATCGCCAAAACACAAGCATTTGATTGGTTTCGCTATTTTGTGATCCAAAACACAAGCATTTGATTGGCTTCGCTATTTCCATTTTGCAACAGAGTAGAAACGAATTCAACTATCCGGTGAAGAGAAATATTTCGCAGAGAAACATTCCAAAATCATGTTGCGCATGCGTTCAACCTTTTAGCGCGAAATTTTTCGCATTTCGCTCGTCGTGGAATTAGGCCTTTAGTGGAATTCACAAGTTACATAAAGCTTCTAAAGTTCACAAATGCCTAGTAACAGCTTACGTAGAGGTACGAAATTTCAGGAACATCCGGTTTTCTCCATGCATGAGTTAAATTAAAGGTTATCCTACGGATAGTTAAACGCGGTACTAGTGGTACTAAACGGGCTTCGCACAACGCAATTTTATCGGTCATTTTATCGTACGCTGCATGGATAGTGCTATAAGAACGTCTGCGAGGGAGACTACATGGATAGCGGAAGAAATACGCTGCGTAATTCGGTACGATATACGATTGAAGTGGAAAACAGGCTTCTTAAGTGATAAATAATACCTCCCATACGTGCCTGAAATAGATAAGCGCCATAGGAAGGATTTAGAATATTAAATTCTGATGAATACATATTGATGTTTATCCAGCGAATGCACAGTAGGAATCAATATACTATACAGTATATAGCGCAATTTAGTTGAACATGACTATTCCTGTGATACAATGATTGTCAATGTCAAAAGCACAGCAGTACGAATGAATTCACGGGGGAGCATAGCCCTAGCCAGTTTCTTCAACATCCGGTCCTTGCATAAAGAAAACCATTATAACCAACTCTGCTGAAATGTTCAATATGATAATTTAAATTTAGCTAAATTCAGGATTCAAATTATTTTAACAACTATATACGGTATAAGTTATTTAAACCATCATCGTGCAAGGCAAAAAGTTGACAAAAACACTGAAAACAGTAAGTTGAAAACTGCTATAAACATTTAGGAAAATTGCTGAACCTAGCTAACAAGTTCTTTGGTGTAAGATAATGGAGAAGAGGGACTGTGAATTTAAGTTTCTATAGTAAGTGGGAGTAAATGGGCGTCAGATGCTGTGGACCAACGAGGTCACGGGTGTAAATATATACTCGTAAATATACCATGCAGACTATATACACAAATAGTATAGAAGGTCTCGTATAGAAGGATGGGTTTTAAGGCTAATTGTATCTAATTCTATTTTTCGATCTGTATTCACACGTGCACCTTTTATTCGTGCAGCTGGTTTAAAGGGTTTACATGAATATGCGGAGTGCATGCCGGAATGCCGGAGTGTTGCATGAAAATGCGGAGTGTTGAAAATACAGAGTGTTCTCATTTTCTTTAAAAATTGTTTACCTGACTGTTACTCAGTCTCCCCTTCGATAAACTACCAATGGCATATTAAAAGTTCTAATAACTGTCACTAAACTTTCTTGTATACAGAGCCTTTTAAACTATAATCTATCTTAGGCGTTTAGTGGTAGCTGGTATTGTAAGCAAACGAAAGCGCGAGAGATAGAGTGTGAGGTCAACCTGAAACATCATTGTGAGATTTACTGTATGTATGGTAGCCTACAGTCTTTTTAAGTTCACAACTTCAAGGTCATAAAGAGTATTGAAATTCTCGTTGAGTCCATGCATTATTCGTGAAAAAATCCGGGTGCCACCCTCAGTCAAGTAAAACTATAGTGCACAAGATAACTCTCTAGTACAACAATAATTAGTTATGCATGGATCTCATTAATGATGTAGTCCAGCAAAAAAATGTCTGGCATGAAAAAATGAGTCCTATAGTTATTTATTCGAGTCCGAATTTCATAAATATAGTTCCTTGAGTTTGAGTTTTGTCGTGTGTTGTAAATTGTAAAATGCAAAGTTGCTTAACTGATTAACCCATTTTCGTGCTAAGGAAAACTAAGGAAAATATCACTAGTATGAAGTTCGACTCTAGGAAAAGAGACTCCTAATTATGTTTTAAGAGAATAGATGGAAAATAATTTGTCTGTGTTCAACACTCCGCATTTTCAACATTCCCGAACTCCGCTTATTAATGTAAACCGGTTGGGTTGGCCGAGTTAGAGCGCAAGTTCAAATACATGAATAATTTCAAAGTCTGCAATATACCCCGAACTGTATCAGGGAGAATTTTGTAAAAATTATATGAAGCTTATAAGCCAATGTAACTTATATATATACTGTCATTGTCATTTCAGCTGGCAACTATGTCGCCAAGAAGATTTCCAACTTATTCTCACGGAATTCATCAAACAGAGAGGAGGAAGACAAGGAGGAAGCACAATCTTACCCAGTTCCAACTTACGTTTGTCCGCTAAATAATGGTAGTCATGACAACGAGCAAGAACGCACAACCATTAGTCAACAACATCAGCAACAGGCAAGGAATGAACCGGGGAGATATACCTCTGGGTAAAAACATATTAAACGCTATTTAATGAAATTCATGCATGTATATTGAATGTATGATACAGGCTACTAACAGATGTATTATGTTAGTTTTTAGAAAAATTATATTATCCTCAGTTGCTCTGTTAAGCCTGATTTCAATATGGTCGTAACGGTCGTAGAGATTGAGTCACGATCTTTCTCATCAGCCGAAATACAACATTTTAGAACTGAAAATACACGGAGTCATTATAACTAGAGAATACTTATTATATGATTTATGTACTGTTTAATAAACGAGTAGGAGTGTTTTATCAGATATAAAATGCGAGGCGCAGTCGAGCGTTTTATATCTGATAATACACGACAACGAGTGTTTTGAATAGCTTAAAATACGACTACAAAAGAATACTAATTAGGATGAACCATAATATAATCATGCTAATTAAGATGAACAATTATATAATGCCACATGTGTTTTATCAGATATAAAGTCACTCCACGTGACATATTATGGCTGACATGATTTGCCACAAGGTTTATGAATTATTAATGAGTATTTTAAATTTGGTTTACAGTTATAAACTATTATAAACTATTATAAACTATTATAAACTGGCCGTTTATCGTGACTCGATATTTTTACGATCATTACGACCATATAGAAACCAGGCTTAAAGACTGCATGTTTCGTAATTAAAGAATGTAGTTCAGGATTATTTAATGATGATCTGTGCATAAATGGCCTTACACTCAGGCTGGCAGTATACTGGCCCGTGGCCGTGTACAGATTTGATGGACAGAATTCACAATAATTCTGACGAAGTTCATATGGAACATACATGCAATGTTTATAGCGGCGGACCATTTGCAGAATTGCTGGACGTAGCATTACACATACATAGCCTCGACTTCATTCTTGGATTTCTTTTATGTGTGCCAGTAATTCTGAATTAAGGGTCAATATATGGAGAACATGTATAGTAATATGTAAGTTATAATTATTTCAACAGTATGTAAAGCATTATAATTAAAGTGCTACATGCAGTAACGGCCCGCTCTTATTCTTCCGACTTGTTTGCAGGAAACAGAATGAAAATTTGGTCTTTTGACCCGCATTTAATATTATAGCCTCCCAAAGTTGAGATTTTTGCCACATCCCCTGCGAGTCCATATATGACACCAAAACGGGGTCCGATTCTCAACATTGGTATTCCCATACTAATATACTACATCGAGAAACACGTGTGCTTTTCTACAACAGACTCAGCCTGAATGTTGAATGCATAATACACACCAAACAAAAGTTACTAACAAACCAGATCCCCATTGTTAAAGATCGAGGACAACAATCCCACTCATTAATAATTTAATTATCCTATATTATAATTCCAGGCTTTATTTGGATTTCTAAAATTTATATTTTCAAACATCGTCTTCCTCATTTGGCATTATGTCTCCTAACAATAACTACGTCCTCTCGTTTAGTCTCATCAACACCCTAAAATAAGGATTTAACTGTTATCACATTTTCTGGAAGCAATCACTCTTCAGTATTGTCCACTGAGATGTTGCAACTCTATATCTATACAATTATTGTTCTCACGTTGTTGCAATAACTTGTTAGGATGTGATAAACATTATTCAAAAATCATTAATAACTCATGAGGAAAACACAAAGAAAAATCGTAAGCGTTATTGCGGTGCTTGGAGGGAGGGGTATCAAAAGAAGGTAGGGAAAGGGAAGGAGGCGACATGAAAAATAACTCCAAGATTGGGGGGGGGGGGCTGAACGGAGAGGGGTCAGCTTAATTAATTTGTGCCGTCACCCCCCACGCCCCACACACCCCAATAAACTTGTGGATCCTTTTGTGTTTGCCGGACAATCAGTTGCTCCTCGTCGTAGCAGCCCTGACACTAGCCTGTGTTCCAGTCCACTACACTGTATAGTGGACTGGAACACAGGCTACCCTGACACTGGTACATGATTATGAAGGTTGATGGTCTTTAATTGGTATCTGTCATGGTGATGGGAATCATCACCTATTAATGACCATATTGGACTGTAGTGAAAGCGTTCAATCTCCCAAGCGGTTAATATTGTAAGTCAGTTAATTATTATCAAACAAAGGTCTTGCATTAATATAGCTCAATCGTTACCTCTTTCCCGTGCGAAAAATTTCGTTCTCGCTCCCATCGTATCATAGCCTCAGGCCTGTAGTTTGTAATGTATGCCCGTCTGTAGCCATCTGTACTGTTCCCGCGACTGTAGTGAAGAGTTCGACCGCTATGAAAGGTACACGAGCCGCGTTTGAGTGGTTGCGGTGCACCTTCATCCTAAAGGAAAAACAAAATGAAACTACAGAAAACTAATTAGACACGACACACCTCCACAGCGTAAGTTGAACATTCAAGCAAGCCAGATTTGATTTGTGAGTCCATTGTAATTTGTAACTGCTGTTGTTACACTCTAATTCGACACTGCAAAACAAATTTCCACTTGCACAGACCAAAACTACGGCATGGGTTTTTGAAAAGATATTGTTTTGTCGTGGTATATATACTATGACGTCATATATATTAACATAGTAGAATGACAAAATTTGGTAAATAAACTTAAATGGCTGAAATCAACTAATATTTTAACAACTACATGTGATGACATCAATAGCGAGAACAATCCATTTTGGGTTATGATCGATCTTCATGTGTAATCTGTTACTTTCCATTCACGCAAATTACGTAACGCACGGGACAACGATATATTCAATCATACAAATTATACAGTATTCTCCACACCCCCGATCAGGGCAAACATACCCATTTATCCAAACCTACCCACCGAGGCACGCGGGTAGTGCTTTTAACTTATTTAAGGATACAGAACACCTTTGAGTGTTAATTTTGCCTAAATTTTTTTATTGGCTTCCATGAAAGCATCAGACCGGTTCTACTATCTGACCCATGGCCAGTTTGATTAATATTCAAATTCAATTTTCTCCCGAAGAATTTACGGCAATTACTGATTTTCAAACGAGTTGTTCTCCTGCGAGTTTTAACGAATTTTTCTCAAATTTTCACAGGACATAGCTAATTATAAAAGACGTTTAAAAATTGTGTTCGGCTTTTTTCTAATTTTGGATATTTTAATAATAAGGAGCAATTCACTCAAACGATTCAGAAATATATTGCAGTCGTCAAAGAAATCGTCATATCAGCGGAATGACGAAATAAACAAAAATTTCCGAACACAATTTTTTAGAACAACAATTTTACTGTATATTAAAAAATGATATTTTCATAAATATATCTTAAAACCAGCAGGAAAACAACTCAAAAGCGTAAAGGTACCGCGATTTAATCAATTTTACATCTTTACCATATTTTGCATGCACTGGCGAACATTTGGTGAAAATATGATGAAAATCGGACTGATATTGAGCACGCAGTAGCGATTTTCCGCAAAACGCACAAAGCCACAAAAGGGTGTCCTGTCAACCCTTGCTTCACAAGAGCAAAGAGCCTGGGAACGAGGTTGGTGTCCTGTAACCTTAAAATTGGTCGTTTAATAGTTGAACCAAGATCTAGAATAATGTTTAGTATAATTATAAATTAAACAGTCTTCCATATTTATTGTGAGGTCCAAATAATGTAGTTTCACAGCTTTTTGGCATTTTTACGAAGGTTGAAAAATCACTGTTCGGTGGAGGATAGCGCATTAGCGCACTATCTGGCTTTGGTATAACCGGTGCTAGTTTTATTATTAGCGAGGTTTAGCAAAGACGACGCGACGTCAAACACGACGTGAGAATGGCGTAAAAATGGCGTGGGCACATCCATAGATGGGCATATCACGCCATTTTAACGCCATTTTCACGTCGTCTTTGACGTCGCGTCGTCTTTGCTAAACCTCGCTATTAGCACGTGCTGACCTCGGAACAGACACACTCCAGCACGTGCGCACCCTTTCCTGCAGGGTGATGTTCTCGTAAAGGTAACTTGTGTGAACCAGGGACAAACCACATACAACCATTTTCTAATGTCGAATCGTCAAGAGCAACCTGAAATAACAAAATTACCATTTAAACTTCAATCAGAAGTTAGTACATATGTGACAGATAGCTCATAATAGTAATAAAAGTTATTGCTTAGCTTGAGTTATTTGTAAATGAAATTAAAGTCTGAGATGCCTGGCACTTTTAAAGTATTACGACGATAAAAAGGAATAAGGAAAGTTCCCTGCATATTTGGTGCCGTATTATGCTTCATAACCCTATCCAGCAGGGGCGGCGGAACAGATTTCATTTTGGGGGGGGGGGGGCTAAAAAAATTTCGATCAGTGTACCATTTTAGAGGTACAAAAATTTTTCCAGACATATACAGGAAAAGGGACGAAAAAATTTTTTCCGGACCTATAACAAAAATTTTTTCCGGATATACACTATTTTTAAACAAAACATAGCCAATTTTTCCCCTTATACTTAAATTTTAAAAAAATACCCTAAATTTTTCCAGAAAAAACAGAATTTTCTGGGGGGGCTAAGCCCCCCCCCCCACTTTTACTTCTGGGGGGCTTTAGCCCCCTAGCCTCCCCCTGTTCCGCCGCCCCTGCTATCCAGTGTACTTTAGGTCAGTGGTACAAACAATGTAGTACATAATTGTGTACATCGTGCAACGATGACTAGAAAAATGTTGGTTGCTTACAGTAAAGATTAAAAATGGTGGCCTGATGAACAAGCCTTGATAAAATACTTTTCTTCCTGGTAGCAGCTTCCTAGACCAAAAATTTCCTGCCAATTTTTTTTATAAATTTGAATTTTGGTTGTACTTCAATAACAGCGTCGTGTATTCAACAATAGTGAGTTTACGATTCACGACGCGGCCAGCTCGACGACGCGCTTGCACGACAAAGAAACACGTCATGCGAGACAAAAGGGATGAATAATTTGTAAATTCAAATGTTTTGTCAACAGCGTTGCCATTCTTGGGACACCGTCAAATGAGTAATTTTCACGGCTTCCTAGCTAGCGATATGAAAGCTCGTTGCGACATGGGAGCTGTTTTATAACGTTGACAGAATGACAACATTAGCTAAAGATCGGAGTAGTTTAGTCAAATTTAAACATTTGTAAGATTATTAAAACATGCTTTAGACAATTAAAGCAGTATAGTTAAATTCCTGTTGATTATTTCAAGCATAATTTGACTCGACGTCGTCGAGCTGACCGCGTCGTACATCGTAAACTCCCTAATTATTCGCTGAACGCGAGGTGATTAGTCGGGGAATATTCGCCGACGTAGATTTGACCAATCAACATGTAGGATTTGTTATGTTCACTTGTACAAAAATACTAAACTATCTTACTATCTCAATATTAAGAAAAATATAGGTTTACTAGAATTAGGAACATGAAGGAATTCTATGAAACAATATTCGAATTTTGTTTTCAGATTGTAAATCTGAATTTATATCAGTATGCATGCACTATTCAATAATAGTAGTACGCCCTTGTTTTCCACATGTATCATAATCATGAATCATGATAACAGACAGTCGTGGCACTGCCACATGATACAATTTTTTATGTTATGATTGTTGTATTTATGTTCTAATTGTGATGTTTGTTACTTTAATGCAACCTCAAACCCAGGTCCCAGGGTGACTTTAATGCTGATTTCAACCTCCGAACCTCGTACCCAGGGCTTCTACGCTTATTGCTCTCAGAGAGCAATAAGCGCAGAAGCCCTGGGTACGAGGTTGTGCTGGTTTTTGAAATTTCTCGAGCTTCATTCTTGATATCTTGCTTTCCCTTAAAAATTTCCTGTGAGATTAAAAAAATTTCCTGTCAGCATGCTGCCATGCTGACGGACTTTCTCATGCCTTGCTGATGAAACTGATCCTGAAAATACACTCAAGTCATTGTAGATATAACTTCTGAAATAGCCCTGAATCCAGGCCCCATGTACATGTTCGTTGAGCAAGAACAGGAATGCAGTGTTGAGATTGTTGACAATGTTGGATTGACAATGTTGTGATTGGATTAAATTATCCCTTGTACGTTGACTCGGGGTTAGAGATTAGGGGCGGGGTTGGGGTTGGGGTGGGGTTCAGGGATTAGCCTTGATATATTATTATAGGGGTCACACGAAGTATATACCCTGATTACCAGGTGTAACCGCTGTTTACGCTATGGGACATGGATGCTGATGCAAGTAATGCACATACCCAACAAGTTGTCACCCTTTTGTCAGGCATATCTGGCCAGTACGATTCATCCTGATGCCAAGGTGTTATTGTATTTGTGTTGGGTCCCTTTTAAAGAAAGACAAACTATAAATTAGTATAACATTGATAACACTATTTTGAATCAACCAATAGATAAATGACAAAATTTGGATTTGAAACCTAGGAAAGTTAGTAAAATACATTATGTAAAATTAGGCACTGACCGCAATGTACTATAGTCTGTTAGTGTAAACAAACGGAGATGTAGGAAGCTTGCTAAACGTAATTAAAGCCGGGATCTTGGCGCCGAGCGGGAAAATTTTGAGTCTTTGTAGATGGTCGGAAATGGCATTCCCAGAGTCTTCTCTACCTCTTTCGTTAGGTCCTTTCATTAATTCTTTCATTATGACTTGTGTGAGTGTATGCTATCCGTGAGTTAGGATGGACTATTATTATTAATAGGCCGATCACGGCGATCAGTGCAATTCTCTTAAAAGATTCGGGGGGGGGCTGAAAGCCATTCCAGAAGCAGTTGGGTTTACTAGACTTGATATGATAGGTAGAAATGTTCTCGAGCACCATACCTTGGCAATGAGCATGTCAAAATCAAAAGCAGCATCAGCACCAATTACTATGTTGTTTATTGCGCGCACTCTTTCGTGAAGTGGACCCTAGACGAAACTCGAGAGTGTAAGAAAAATTGTGTAAATCAATTGTGTAAAAGTGGAAGCTGTACAGCAGTATACAGCTATACAGTTCTTTCAAATCAAATTCGCAAAACCTCGACTGCAAGCAAATAGAAGCATCAAGATCAGAAAGAGATATAAATTAGTCTATTAAATAAATGTGCTTTTCCTACTAGAAGTTGAAGTTCATTTGAGGGGTGGAAGAATTTCGTGAGCGAGGGGCGGTTGCACGGTCAGCGGATAAATCTTATTATAAGTAATAAGTAAAATACAACTTTGATTCCTAAAGATGACATACCTGCATCAACGATGGTACGTAAAGGCTTGGCCACATGATCTGACAAACATTCTCTTCCCCTTTATTTTTTTGAGACTCTAAACACAAATTACAACACTCTCAAAATACACCTTTACTGCGATGTCAAGACCACCATGCTAGTGTATTACAAGATTTTGGTTCCTAACTCGTACTATATAATTCACTGCTTTAAAAAACATTATTTTGCCAGATTTGTCAACTAAGTTAAAACCGTTATTTTGGAAGATGGTGCCAAAAGTGGCCCAGTGAGCAAACTCCTTTACGGAATTTTGAACCCAATAATGTATTTAATACATAAATGCTTTCCTCACCAGCTCAACAGAAAAGCACTATTAAATTTGTACTTTTAAGATCGGATTGCTGAGTGTTTTTTCTAATAATTTCAACAACGACGACATGCATGTGAACTGATGTGCAGATAGACTTTTGTTCGATAACTGAAACCATAATTAGAATCCTGAGCTTTTACGTAATATTTCAAATCTGACTATGAGGATTGGACTAGATTCAAGTCCGCGCAATTCGATCCAGTTTGAGGCAAAGCCGAAAACTGGATCAAAATTTGAGGACTTGAAATCTACTCCAATCCGAATTGGAGGATTTGGAATGACATCTCATACGAATGAATCACTACTCAAAGTGAGGTGAATTAATTTTGACCCAGTGCAAGGACTGAATTAATTTTGATCTAGTCCTAGAACTGCAACAATATACTTCACCATGCAGGTATCCAGTATTATCATGTGAGCAAAATAAAGCAATATGGTTGGCTAATTTACTCATGCATTATTAATGAGTTTGAGATATCGTATTCATACGCTTCTCTCGTATTCTCCCAACATTCCCCTCGTGCATTATCACAACATAAACACACGCGACTCGTTTTCTATTTCTTGAATAAAAAGTAAACGTTCCGAACAAGAAATCTCAGTGCAACTAATAAACTAAATTGGAATTGGAATTGCATTGCATTGCATTGCATTGTATCATGTTGCATTTGCGTTGTATTATGTCGTGTTGAGTTCCAACCTCGTCTTCGTTCCCAGGTTGGTTAGGTTCTTAAGATAACATTTTATTTGCCATTAATCTATAATAAGATAAAATTATTTTGTTCACCGTGACCACCAAGATCTTGACGATGTGATGTTGTATTTATTTCTCCACTCATCATCTTCATATAGATATCTGCAGATTATTAAATACAAATTGTTAAATAACTTTTAAACCCTGGTCAAACGAGGATGAGAGTTGACGAGAGTTGAGAAGGGAGAGTTTGCATGAGAATTTTTCAACTCTCATGCCCCGGTCAACGCGAACAAGAGTTGATGAGAGTTGACTCTCTGAGAGTTGACTGGATATTACAGCGTGTGTAGCGAAAACTCTCATCGCAACTCTCATCAAAATGTGAACCAGTTCAAAGTTGATGCGAGTTGACTCTCAGCGTGTGTAGCGAAAACTCTCATCGCAACTCTCATCAAAATGTGAACCAGTTCAAAGTTGATGCGAGTTGATGAGAGTGCACGGAGTCGACGAGAGATGCCAGTCAAACGCGAGCGAGAGTTGCAACTCTCGTGAACTCTCATCCTTCTTTGAGCGAGCTAAGGCCGCGTTTACACTATAACGCTTCGGTTAGCACTCCGTTAAAAATTCACTACGTTTCTTAGTATTGTGTTTACACTGTAACGGAGTGGTTTGCCGTAGCGCATTAAGTACGGACCACTACGTTTGGCACTCCGGATGCAAATCAATACGCTACGGTAAATTTGGCGTAGCGTCATAGTGTAAACGCGACCTTAGTTGGAAAAATCCTGAATCCGAGCTGGAAAAACGTGATCCTTGCCAAGGATCTTGGAACAATCATCGGACGTGTCGAATTGCTGTAGGAATTAATAGAACACATTCTATTTGAGTGTTACCTCAAACAGAAATATAATAAATCGTCAAGTAGTGAAAGTTTCGTAAAATAAAAATTTTATATATATAATCTGCATAATTTATCTCAATGTAAAATGTAATAATTTATGTGCCTGCATGCAATTAGCCTTTCTCGCCGTCGATTTCCCGCCATGTTTGGGGTACTGCTTCTCCCACGTTTGAGAGTCTCCGCACCACGAAATACATTTTCTTAGTATTATAGTTGTTTGTGATAGTGGTAAATTTCATTTACAACTTTTAAAAGTCGCTTTTCACGTTGTTTTAAATAGTCACGAGGGCAGACAGTACCTCAAAATGACGAATTTTGGCCTTCGTGAAAGACTAATTGGTTAGGATCGAATATCGTTAACATATAATAGAGAAAACGTTTTTAGTTTAAATTATATTACTTTTTGGAAACGTGATACGCTTAAATTCCAGGTATATGAATATTTGGTAATGAAAATCTAATTAACTACTGCTATACCAAACTTCATATAAATTATTAGAAATTTTCATAACTTGCATGGTAGCTTCTTGCATGTGATTAAACGTTATTACGTTTCAATTAGCCCGCGTGCAGGCCCAAGGGAACTGATAGTGGGCCTGCAAGCAAGGCCCGGTATTTTGTAAAACGCCCCTTTCCATAACACGCCCCATTCGCGCGTCAATTGTCAAAAAAGAACCAATGACAGCACCCAAATATTGACAAACTCGCATTAAAATGTTGCGGGGTTTTCTCTGCTTATTCAGAACATATAAAACAATGTGTAAATGGCTGCGTTTTAACTCCAAAAAAGCAAGCAACGCAGTCAGTAATTGCCAAATTTGCAAGTGCTCATTTTCAACTAAAATTGTAACAGAAAACCAGTCTCAAACTTCAAGTCGTGAGGGAAGTCGTGCGACCACATTAGCATTCGCTGTCGCCATTGTTATAAATAAATTGTCTCACTTATCAGATCGTGTGTGCAATTCTTGTTGGCGGCGGAAAGTACGAAATTTATTTCAGTTATTTCATTTGGTAAAGAATTCTACAAAAGAAGAGAGCGTTCAGAGTCCAGATCGTTTCGTTTCAAGCGGCAATTTAATACCATCTTCTGTTTCGCTCTCTCAGCGAAGCCTTGTAAATCGCAAAGTGTTTCGAATAGGCTTACATGCAACTGCATCTCAACATCAACCAAAAGATAATTTTCTTGAGGAACATATAACGTATCAAGTCTGTTTGAAATTAATGAAACTCAAGTAAAGGTTACTATAGTTTACCCCATCGTATTAAATGTTGCTATTCCAACACCTCCCGACAAGCAATCCCCATTGGCATAACGACCAAAACATCTCTTCCTTCAAGTAAACAATAAACAGTCTGTTCTTGTTTCATTTGTAATCGAAAAAAGTGATCAATTTTCGAATTTTAAGCTTATCGAGAGAATTTCGAGAGCCTTTGTGATGAATCACTGACCTAATTATAGAATCCAACAGCAAACAGCCAATCAGAATGCCGCGTTCGTGGACGAACGCGGAAAGTACAAAATACCGGGCCTTGCTTGCAGGCCCACTATCAAGATCCCTTGAGCCTGCTCCCTTGGGCCTGCACGCGGGCTACGTTTCAATAAAACATCAATGTCTTTATGGCATAACGTGCATGGGAAGCATTTTGCGGCTATTAAACTCTTATCCAACTACTTTCTAATACATGGATTGTTGAAATCTGTTTTTTCGTATGATCATAAAATTCAATCAATAGTCACTTTGAAAGGAATCACTAAATGAACAATTATTTTACCATTTTACTAGTGACGTCATGTCTGCAGTCAATGATGAAAGTGATCCATTTTGGGTGAAAAGTGCTTCAAACGAATAATATGTTTAACGAATAATAAGATGTTTAATAACAATAATAATAATTATAATCAAACGAATAATAAGATGTTTAATTAAGCTATGTAGAACGTTTTAAAAAACTTGACATCCATGTTGAATTGAACAATTTTCCAACGAATTTGCTGCGAGTGGCTATAAAGCGTATCAAGCCCGTGTGTTTTTGAGCTCCTCTCAATTATGTGTTCTACAACAGTTAGTAACGTATTGTACGGCTATTTTGGTCTTAATAAAAGTAAATTGAAATGGTCAGGAACTTTGGAAGACCTTAAAGCATTTGTCCTCACGGAAATTAGTGAAGAAATAGCCGAAAATACATCATGGCGTTCACCGAGCGGCGGGACATGGCAGTTTGATTCTAAGATGCTATCAGTTACATGGCATAGTAAAAGTGAAAATATTTACTTCAAAGGTGAAAAAGGCAGCGATCTCACCACACGAGTATATTCCTACGTAAATCTGGGGCTCGGGGAGAGTGATCAAACGGTGGTGAGTGGAAGTCCTACAGAAACCGAGCTAGAAAAGTCCATCGAAAGTCTGTTAGCTAGCAAGAATGAACATATGAATGATATTAATAAAACTAAAGATATACCAACTAACGAGGGAGCTAGCGAGGATGAGAATACGAGTGATATTGAAAAAACCGAAGATACATCAACTAAAGAGGGTAATCCTGTAAAGGCTTCAAATCGACATCTTGATTTTAGTAACAGTATTATTCATGAAGCCCAAAGTTCAAAGGAAGAAACGAACACAAACTTGTCAACAAGTGTAAATTTGCATAAAGAACCAATGAATTTGCATAGAGTGCCTCATTCCTATATTCCTTTGGGAGACCCGAACAAAAACTATAATCCAGAGTTTGATATCGTTGCATTGAAATTTAAGCTGGAGAGCTTTGCTGAGAACGTCGACAGCAAATTTCAAGCTCTTACAAAAGAAGTGGCTGACATTATTTCGATTATAAAGTTTATTCGATTATAATTCTCGAGAACACTGTCCATGAATTAAAGAAAGAGAAATATGACCTAATCAAAGCTAACAACGACTTAAGAGAGAAGAACGAAGTATTACATCAAAAAATTTCGGATTTTAATTCGACAGTACAAAGATTGGAAGATGAGAAGCAGAGTCTAATCACAACCCTAAAGCTAGTTCAAAAGGAAACTCAAACTGTTCAGCCGGATTTAAATGACAGAATGCAAAACCTTGAAAACGAAAATAAGAGCTTATCAACGGCATTAACACTCTTGCAACACGAATTAGATAATACTCAACAACATAAATGGAAAGTTGTAAAGACGAAGTATAATAAACCACCTTCAGAGACCCCAGCAGGATCAAATACTATTGAAACAAAAAATCAATATACAACCCTTAGGGTCACTGATGCTGAACATGACGATATTCCAGCAAGACTGAATACCCAACAGATTCTAGATGAAACTTCGAATACAACCAAACACAGCAACATACAGATGGTTGGAAAAAGCAGTGGTCCATCAAATTCTAATGAGTCAAGTCGTGACTCACAACGTAGTCAACCTAGAATAGCTATCCTCGGAGATTCGATGATTAAACATTTGGACACCAAACGAATGCAGAATGGATTGAAGAAAGGAAAAGTAACGATTAAGACATTTCCTGGTGCAGGTATTGACCAAATGAAGCATTATGCAGTACCAACTCTAATTACCAAGCCAAAGACACTTATATTTCATGTTGGAACCAACGACTTACATAACAAAACACCAGAAGATCTAATAAATGCAATGAATGATCTTGGTGAAACGATCCATAGACAGAACAACGATCTGGAACTTATATGGTCGGAAATAATAACTCGAACTGATGATCCAAACTTAGCAGAAAAGGTAAATGTAGTCAATGCCGAGCTCGCTAAATTATGTACAGATAAGGGCTGGGGACTTATTAAACACAACAACATTAAAGGAAGTCTTTTAAATAACTCTGGTCTACATTTAAATAAACATGGAACTACTATATTAGCTAAAAACATAAGACAATTTCTTAGCAGCCATTGACTAGATCCTGAGTTTTCAAACACTACGGATCCTGATTCAACATTTTTGCATATCGTAGATCAAATAAACACACAGTCTAGTTCACGACAAACAATGCAAATAAACAGCACGCCTTATCCAAAACTGAAAGGCTTTAAAATTGGCCATCTAAACGTTGCAAGTCTATATAAGCATGTTGATGAACTAAGAATTTTTATGAACGATAAAATGTTTGACATATTAAGTATCAATGAAACTAGACTTGACGGCACTATTGACAACAACGAAGTTAATATCACAGGTTATGATCTTATTCGGAAAGACCGAAATCGAAATGGTGGGGGTGTCGCAATTTATATACGAAATGTTATTCCCTA